TGAGCCTTCTAGTGTTTCGACGTCATCGAGCCTTGTCGCAAGTGTAAAGTTGATTGAAGATGCACAGGGTTGTGCAACTGTATCTGTTCCTACTCCGGTTGACTGTCAGTTGAGTGATGATGAGAAGGAAGCGTCTGATGGTAACAGTCAGTCTACAGTGTTGCATGATAACGATGCTATTGATGTGCACATGTCTTGTGTTTCTGAAACGGAACATGAAGAACAACAAGTGAGTTTATCTGTTTCGAATTGCAATACTAATATTGTTCTTTCATGTAGCGAGATGAGTCGTACAAAAATGGAAGAGTTCCACTCTACGGATGTTAGTGCAGACCGAATCGACGCGACCTGTCTGACAGAACGGAATCATGATGACGATGATAATAATCTGGATGTCACTGGTGTGACAAATGAGTTTTCGACGATGACGAATGCTGATCAAACCTCCTCTGTACCAGGAGATGGAGAGTTAAATATTGTTCGTACGTTGCGCCACTTAGAGTCTTCCGGAGACGAGGAAATGTCGAAATTGGAGATCCCATCCTTGCATATTATCTATGGGTCTAGAACTTCTGTTGGGCCGTTGTAGAATCTATTTTGAAGGTTTTGTTTTTGGAAAATCCGTCCACGTACACATATTTGTGTTATGATGTGATTGACTCTTCTGTTTGATTCCATTTTGAGATTTTATCATTTGTATCTTGTTATTATTTCTATATCTTGTACTTATATTGAAGTTTCCATGTTCCTTCTGAATTATACATATGTTGTTTAAATTTGCGATTAGTCCTTTCTCATGCGTTTGTAAACCAAACGACAGAGGTTTCGGGACTTACACGCAGTAGCGAGAGCATTGTTTTCTGCTATTTGCTTACGCACGTCATGTTGGTTTTTCACACCTTCAAGTATAGCGTGAATTTGGTACAGGATGCTGAAGTCCTTAGGTATGCAATGTGATCGTCTTAGTTTACGTAGTTTAGCCCTAGCTTTATGGGTGATATAAGGAGTAACTGTTTTAAAAGACCTCTTCGAAAGGACAGTAGTGTCCAGAGAAGATTTAATGGTGACATTCAATATATGTAATGCATCAGGGAGTTCAAGGGTAGAAAAGAACGCAGTTCAGTCGGAGTGCTGAATTAAAAACCGAATGCTGTCCCAGTCAGCATGTTCATAGTCTCTGTATTGAAAACCCATTACTGTTTTCGGTTTGTCGCATTTAGGAGAAAACGGTAGGGCCACTGTTGTGAAAATTTTCGCAGACAGCCACAGATGTTGGGGTGACATTATGACAAAATACCAAATCGAGAATGTTGTCAACCATGCGTGTCTAAGTGAATAAGAAAGCTATCAAAGCATAGGAGATCGGAATGTGTCTGTCAGTTGATTCCAGGGAGGTTGAAGTCACCACAACTAATTTTGTAGGTGAATTTAAGAGAGGCAGCCGTTGCAAACGACTCACCAATAGTAATGTCAATTGATCGATGAGTGTTTGGAGCTCGATACATGCATGCTACAACTTTCTCTTTTCCTTGGACTTTTTATCCTGAGTCCATGTCTACGACTATCCACTATTGGTACCGTCGACTTCAGTCAATCCTGGCAATAGCTGACCTGGTCAACGACGCCGTTGTCAATGCACTCAGTCAATTTTCTGGTTCCGAAAATTTCTGACGTACGTATGGTTTCAAGCTTGGTCGTTACGGTTGTTTCCGGTTCTTTCGCTCAGTTTAGTTCCGTTCTATGTCTGCAGCGTTTTCTGGTCCGGACCCTCACGAACGCAATCTTCAGATTCTGGATACGAGCCACACCGGTGTGGCACGCCAACATAAGCAACAAATATGACTCATTACCTCTGGTACCGATCTCCGTAAAGGACGTTCAGTGACAATTCGAAGAACAGTGACCGCTATCTGTTCGTCAACAGTTCCGCCTTACAACATCAGATTTGCCGATCAGTCACACGAACGAAACGGTTACGCATCAAAAAAGCAAATCCTTTCTAACTGGGGGGCTCATGTAGCGACCCTATTTTCATGAAGAGAACACGATTGGTTTGATAGAAACATTCATTAATATAGTCAATTGTACCAGTGGTTGTTTCACTGTATCCCTTTGTTTATCTGTATGACAAAACATTGTCTTACGTATCACGTCACCCTGACATTGCTCACGTTGCCTCTGTAGACTCACCCATAACGTTTGTTGCGATCTTTATATTTTTTCCATATCACGAGATCATCAACAAATCTACCTCTACCTACAATCACAACTGGTCTTTTGACTTCTGATTGGCAAGCGATTTAACTTGGTTATTTCACGGTACATGGGTGCAATTCGCTATAAATCTGTACCAAAAAGAACTAACAACAGCTGAAATTATTCAAATAAGGACTAGACTCCTCGTCACACCAGATGACCTGAAATAAATTGAATTTATTTCCTGAAACACGTCTTAAACAACGCAACACTCTCCAATCTTTACAAGGAAGAGTGAACAGACAAAATTATGAGCCTTTATTAAGGAGATAGGTAGGATCCAAACCAGCTTACCCACGAAATCTTCCAGGTAAGACAAACGGGTTAACACTTTACATATCATGCGATGTACATCTAGCCTCTCTGACTTGTAGGAATGATAATAAAAACAAATGGGACCACCATGTAAACACACAGGCTAATAATAATTACGTACATCACACAACCACCAAACCCTAGATTTATAAGTTTACGCGTCAACGAAAGATTTTTACCCCACACCTTATATTTAACACTCAAACGTTTAGTGGCAACATCTCTAGGAATTAAAACTAATCACATCCCACCTTACCAATCCAGCGGGTATAAATGTTGCCATAATAACTGGCCACTATACACGGCAAATCCTTGAAAGGTGGAATTTTATCCAAACAGATACAACCATAACTATGATCCTTAACATCAAGACTATGCGAAAAACAGTGGTGAGCTGCACAGTCATCCTGTTCAAGGTTTTTAGGGATGCAGCACTTTTTGGTACCTCTCGCGCGACAAATGGTCCAAGTCATCTCACACAACATGAGAAAAATGTCAATGTCCACACGCAGTCTCATGTAGGCAATGTTCTCATCCTTCCCACCGGGCTAACAACCCCTCCAAGAAGCCTCCGGAACTCATTCAATAGTCAACTTTTAACCCCGGTCACCAGTAAAATGCTCAGTCAAACTATCAATCACTTCCTTCAAACCTACATCACAGCCACGTAGGTATTAGTAGCTCCTTTACTCAAGATGCTCTTAACTACTATAGCTTAGCGGGACATCTGTATAATACCTGTCTTATAACGCTCATTCGATCTGTAAATAGGACAGATTAGGTCATGTTCGCGACTATTTATCAACCATCACTTATAGTGATAACTGAGGTATGAACCACCACTAATTTTTCTAAGTATCTCTCTTGAAAACTATTATCTCTTTCGAAGTGATAAGCTGCAAGGATGAGGTGCAGGATGACCCATATACGCCCAGTCTAGCCTAATTTTTCTCATGATAAGAATCAAATCCTAATGCCATCCTCATTGCCTTCTGTAAACCGAAATCACTCCAAACAATTTAGTACTTTAAAATAGTTGATTTCTTAGGGCTCGATTCTTATTCTTTCGATACGGTTCCAGGTGTTCGATAGTGTCAAATGAATGGGGTCTAGCAATTCGACTGTCAAATTCTGGTCAGTTGGCAGTGGTTTGTGAGTCCGTATGTCTCGGCATTTGAATGAATATGTTTGTTTCAGGGCAGTAGGGTTTCTGGAAAGCAGCAGCTATCACACACAATCTTCACTAGCAGTTAATGACATAAACTACCCATTTATTTACTTAGTTCTGAAATATTCTTCCCATTAGCATTAGAATTTTCTCACTATTATTCTGCACATCACAACTAACTGATGTCCGGCCTGATAATGTGATAGCTGCTGCTATCACATCACTAGAATTTGACAGTCAAATGGCTAGACCCCATTCATTTGACAATATCGAACACCTGGAACCGTATCGAAAGAATAAGAATCGAGCGCAAAGAAATCATTTGGTTTATACTAGCGCTTGAAAAAGATATTGGATATATCGGATATTAGTTATTAAATCTGTGATCCAGACATGCATGTACATTGTGTGCATGTTCTCTAGAGGTGCCACGGATTTCCCAGCGTGAATAGGGTTCTGAAAACGGCGAATCGATTGACAGAAAAAGGGCAGAAGCGTGGCAAGTGTATATATATAACCAAAGCACCACTTAACCTGTCATGTTGAAGTACTCAATACAGTGGCAAGTCAATATAAAATTCATACTGGCCACTAAAGTTAAAGTAAATTATGGGAATATAAGAATATAACACACAAATGAAGGGGCACAGCAATGAAGAAGGAGGAGTTGTGGAGTGTCAAGTGGATAGAAGAGAAGTTGAAGTAGGAAGATGGATTGATGTACGTTGAAATCGAAATTTCAGTTAGAAGAGTAGAGTTTGGAAAAAAACATTGTTAGTTAAAAATTTCACTGTCTCACTGTTTTTTTTCATTAGATGCCAACCTCTAAATCATACTGTAGGCGCCTGAGTAAGCATGTCGCGAGTGTCTTGGCAGAACGGTGACCTCAGTATAGTTTTGGAAACATGAGCCTCGGAAGTAGCGAGCGTATAAGCGCAACCTCAGTGTTACTTATTAGTCGCCTCATAAATCAAAAGATCTGAAAGCGAACAAAATGTTCTGCCCCACAAATATGGGTGGTTTGAAGTCATCGCCCACAACATCAATGTTTGCTGGTCAGTAACTCCACCCTCCCTTCTTTTGTGTTGTTAAGCTCATGTTAAATAATTGAAAGAAACTACTTTCTGTTCTACTTGGCGCTCTTTGTCTCACATCCTGTTGAGAAACACTGTTTCAGCATCGGATATTGGACATATTGGATACTGGATAGGACATTGGTAGCTGAGGGCTATTAAAAGTTGGCGGTGTAACACGCGTAGTAATGAGCAAATCATATTCAGATGGGTATTCTTCACTTCGTGATGATGTTCGAACATTCATCATCGATTTGCATATCCACATACAAGAACAAAATGTTGTGGAGATTGAGAAGGACACTCAGGTGAAGTAAGTTGAAACAAGTAAACAAATGAAAACAGGTTTCCTAAATTGACAGAGCAGTATTTCATGACCACCAGATGGCCAAATTTGGATATTATTAAACAGATTGTTGATGGTAATGCCGTTATTTTTTTCGCCTTAACATCAGTAGACCCACTTTTTCTCATGCTGTACAACGAACTTTACTATCGACACATATACGCTCATATGAGCAGTAGTTTGACAGTTGAAGATAGGATTCAGTCATACCTAAACTATGTCTCTTTATTTAACGCTCTCCTGGGTGAGTGAGTTTTCCATGTTGGTAACTTCAATATTTTGTACTTACAATAGATGACTGAAATCAGAATAAAGTTCACTTCGTAGAATAAAAGTTTGAATTATGTAACTAGGCTCAAACTTAGATCAAGCAGACCAATTGGTACCTGTTATTAAGTCTGTTTTATTGTCCTATGTTCCATGCACGATCATAGGTTTTCAATGCACCTTGCTGTTTCCTCTTTTGCAACTAGGTTTATTGTGTCCTTCAATGATCTAGGTATTTCCAAAGTTGTAATAATTTTCATTATGAGGATTAAAAATTAAATACATCGTCTTAATCTGTCCACTTCGAGAGCGGATAAAGAAGACTAGGAGTGGATGGATGGTCATCCTTAACTATGCTGCCTCGTTAGTTTTTGATCCGATAGGTTTTGTGAGAGTTTCGTAGTAATGTGAAACTGTTGCATGTGTGCTGGTGTCATCGTTTTGCCGTGCAGGGGTTGGAGATCAATGTCGCCGTCGCCTAAACAGAGTTTTGTGTATGGGATATTTGTATATCAAGAATAGAAGCGGCTCTCATCTCTGCCGACAAGTTAACATGGTTAGATGTAGACCTCTGCAATGCTCATTCTACCTGACCTTATATTTCGGAATTTTCGACAGCGTTTTGTGTTCTGTTGTCACTTCCTGAGGTATAGCTAACAGCATGATAATATGTAAGTGGTTTGCATCATCTTCAATAGTTACTGCTATAACAGACATCCTCTGCTTGTCGTATCGGCCCTCATACCTCGGAAGATTGAAATGTCTATATTGTTTCACCACAGAAGTAAAAGCAATAGTAATGGGTTGGTGTGTTTTTGGAAACCATGAATTCTTACATTTTAAAGCATTATAAAATATGTGGATACTAACTTGGGGATTTTGAAGTTTGGATTCAAAGTGAGCTGCTACCCTGTTGTATCCCATAGTTAAATATGCTTTCAATGTTGGTTGTTTTCTATATAATGGAGTAACTGGAACGTTTAATCGTCTCTTGCGAGGTTACATGACTGGTGGGTGTTGATGCGAATACATTGAGTCATGGACTAGGAAATCTCCCCACCATACCAGCTACGTTAAAGTGGTGGTCGGGCTTTTCTATCGTGATGATCCTACCGAGCTATATTGGCTGGAACGTATGTTCTTTTCTTCGAATGACATTATCGAAAATCCTTTACAAGGGGGCAAGCGCATCTATTCTTTGTTCCACTATATGTTCTAAGTTCGCGAACTCAAATTATTTATCCGTTTTCTCTAAAATTTATTTCATTGACTTGAAGCTTCTCGATTCATATACTCGATCCTTAATCTTTTTCACTGCTGGTAGTGTTGCTACTACCTTTACCATAGGTTTTAATTGTATGGCAATTTGAACTGATGTTCTTTGTTGAGACTGACTGACAGCGACAGTCCCCGTTTTAGTTATCAGTTTTGGTTCATATAAATATACTTACACCTGTTATGCTTCATGAATCATAGGCTGTAGATCTGGAGTCTTCAAGCTACTCTGTCCTGGACCTTCCCTTCCAGTTCTACCTAATCAAAACTCATTCTTTTCACGTCTGTCTCCAATTCTCGGCCCCAATGTGTTTCTCAGTGTACATCTTTTCCTTTCGCTTTTCACTGTCATTGCTGGATCTTCCACATCAGTTTTTCAGCTCCGTTGCTAACATTCACTAGCTTGTTTGCTTCTGTGTCTCCAGCTTGTCTTGGCTTTTTCAGCTCCTGTTTGACTATTATTCATTTCCGTCTTCTTGTTCTTCTTTCTTGAATCTTATCCAGTGTATTAGCAGTGATCCGATCCTAATGATGGTGCTTGTTGTGACTGTAAACCTTAACACACGTTGACGTCAATGCTTCTTTGAGCTCCACTCAACAATGCAAGCATGTTCGGGATGCGGTTTCCCCCCGAACTGCAAAATATTACTTCAAGATTCGGTTGCATCGGCACCTGAACTAGTGATAGGTAGTGAAGTAGTTGAGCATGTTGATCACTTCATTTATCTGAGGAGTCTTATCAGTGCTGATAGCCTGTTGACTGACGAAATCTCAGCACGGATACAGAAAGCTCGATGGCAGTGGTGAAACTTCATCAGTTGAGGTGGTTGGGGCATGTGTTACGTATGCCTAACCACCGACTGCCTCGACGAGCTATGATTTGTGGTGTAGGAGTAGGTTGGAAGAAAGTTAGGGGCGGCCAAAACAAAACATGGCAGAAATCTATGAAGTCATTGACAAGTGGACTGAGTCATGTTTGTAGATGTAGGCTACCTGGTTGGGGTCTGCGAGACGATAGTCACCAACGGTTAGAGACCTTGAACGACATGACTAAAAACCGTTTGCAATGGCGTAGGTGCATTCACTCTTTGTGTTCTCTCAAATCCTAAACTTTTGAATTCTTTATCACTTTATCTTTTTAAGTCTTTTTTCACAAGATTGTACTTCTTCCATAATATCTTCTAATCCTAACCTCTCCGACCACTGCTAATACTTCTACTACCTCTACTACTATTGGATTTGAATTGACAATTACATTTCTTTGCTAATGTGTTATGGTAACTTGAACTGACGTACCTAGGTACGAAGTTTTACGTTGCTATTGCTTGATTGATTGATTGATTGATTGGTAGGTTTTTTCACCTTCATGAACTGAATACAACTACATTTCGCCTGAAGCTACTCTTTTTTGTCTAACCAGCATCCAATGTGTTTCATTTATTCCAAGCACCACTAGCTTATAATTTTGCGTTTCCTCAGCAAGTGGTTCTTCTAGTCTTTCACATTGTGCGAACATTCCATGTACATGTCTTAATAAGTGTTCCGCTTGTGGGATGGGTTAATTGAGAAACTTGGCCTTTAACATGAGACATCACTACTCTTCTAAATGAAGACCTAATTCCAAGGGCACGGGTAGAGTGGTTTGATTGACTTCTTACTGATTAGCGTTTTTTAGCAAGTTGGTTTTCTACGAGATGGGGTCGCTAACTCTATGCTAAACCCTCCTCCTTTATCCGTACTTTAGACCACTAATAACCCTGAGATGGCTACTGTTGTCGTTTTTACGTATATGTATATTGTAATATTTCGTTATAGTTGCTGAACGACCAGTCAATTTGGTTCTTCCTAATCAATGGTTGTGGGAAATTATAGACGAATTTCTTTATCAGTTTCAAAAGTTCTGCAGTTTTCGCAGTCGGTTAAAACTCTAGCCCGAAGATGAAGCGCAACTTTTAAAAAACCCAAAAATATGGAGTATTCATAGTGTTTTGAATGTTCTGTTCTCTCTGGTTGCCAAATCAAATATAAATGAGCTACTAAGCTATTATGCTAAGCAAGGTTAGTTACATTTTTTTCTGAGTTACTATCAGATCCTATGGCTTCTGTTTTTCCGTCGGAATTATGAAAAATCCTCACTGTTGTAGGTTTTTCATTCAGTCTTCAGAGAAATTAATCACTATGATTTTTCTACTTTAGGTTATCATTTATTTACAGTGGAGACACGTTTAGAACTAAACAGAATGTCGATGGATGATTAAACCGCACTATATAATCAAGAGTCAAATATATATAAGTAGTAGTGTAAAATGCTTTGACTTTACTAATATACTATATTGCGAATTGTTAAAGTATTTGGTAAATACAATAGAATTACAATGTAATTGTAGATACATTACACAAAAAGTCTATTGATAGTCAAACCTAGATCAAGTGGTTGGTCAGTTAGTGATTAATTGACTAAGTGAGCAGCTTACATTATCGATATTCGATCATTAAAAAATCATGCTGCAACCTTATAAAGAACTACTACCCTAAGTATAACCTTTTTTCTTGTTAATAGACCCTAAGAGTTCCTTGGTTTAGCTCCTAAAAGTTAGGAAAAGACTAAAAACATCTCTCCTAGTCAGCATCAAGTCGAAACGTCCCAAAAGTATTTGGAGGAAGTAGCAAGTATATGTGGAAATTCGATTGGGCGATTACTTTGTGAAATTTACAGTATATCCAGAAGCTTCAAGGAGGTTAAGATGGACAAATAGATGAGCTAGTCGCCTTCACATCAGTGAATTTCGTAGTACAGCATCTGCACGTCTACTATTTGAACTTGAGTGTAAAAAGTCAATATCAGGCGTTCAAGTAATATACATAACTGCACACCGTTGTGTTGTTTGTGCTTATTTTCAGGCGATCCGGATGACATTGCAGACGAGTTTGGTCGTTGCGTACTTTATAAAATGCTCGGATTCTTCAGTCTTATTGGACTTTGTCGATTACACTGTTTATTGGGTGATTATTATACAGCCATTAAAGTTTTGGAGAATATTAAATTTAATCGTCTTGTAAGTTTTTCTACTCTAGTTTACTATTGTTTGAACTCCGATTTCTGTATGCCCACTCGTCAATAGGATTACTGATTTATTGAGTTAATTTATGAAAGTATCTGCCTTACTCCTAATACTGCTGACCACTTCAATCAGTCATCTACAACGTCGAACTTTGTACGGACGTAAATCAGTTCAAGTTGCCATAACACATTATCACAGAGATTGAATTGTCAATTCGAATCCGATGGTAGTAGAGTTAGTAGAAATATTAGCGGTAATGAGAAGATTCGCGTTCGAAGATATTTTTCAAGAATTACAATCTAATGAAATAAACTTATAAAGAAAAAGACAAAGGTGATGTGGAATTCAGAAGACTAGAATTTAAGAGAAGATAAAGAATGGATGCACCTGTGTCATTGCAAATGGTTTTGAGCTATGTCATTCAAGGTCTCTAATAATCAGTTACCATCATCTCGCGGATCCCATCTAGTCAGTCTATATCTACCAACATGACTCAATCCAGTTGTCAGTGACTACGTGTATTTGTGCCATATTTTGTTCTGACTGTTCCTAGATTTTTTCCACCCTACTCCTCCAAAACAAAACACAGCTCGTCAAGATAGTCGGTGGTTGGGAATTCGCGACACATATCCCAACCACCTCAACTGATGAAGTTTCATTACTTCGTTTATTGATTTGCTCTCCTTACCTAGTACTCGGTTCCTAACCATAACATCGCTTACTCGTTTGTTCAAGGATACACGAGCAACGCCTCAAAGATACCTATGATCGAAACCAAGCAACCTACGAATATCCTCAACTGTTACCGGCCATGTTTCGCATCCGTATAGTAGGACGGAGCGAACTGCTGCACAGTACACTCGTCCTTTGGTTAGCAAATGGATATCCCACCTACGCTATAAGTGACTCAGATTGGCAAAAGGCAGTCGAGCCTTCTGCATCCGTGCTAAGATTTCGTCGCACATTAGGCCATTAGCACTGATGAGACTGCCAACATAAGTTGAGCGGCCGACACGCTCAATAACTTCACTCCCGACGCAAGCCAATCCTGAAGCAACATTTTGGATTTTGAGGTGGAGAGCCGCTTGCATTGTTGCTTAGGGTGGTCAGAAGACTGTATTTCGTCTCATCTTCGCTAAATAGAACTATGTCATTGGCATATTCTAAGTCAATAAGTTGGCCTCCTAGTAGAAGGTCTCCTGAAAATTCAGATGACGATAAGGTTATATCTAGAAACATGTTTATGACAAAATTAAACAAGAATGGGGAAAGTGGACATCTCTGACGGACACCACTTGAAGTAGAGAATTCCGACGACAGTTCACCATAATCTCTGACTCGGCCAATAGTGTTTGAGTAGAGGAAATGTATAAGGTTAATGTACTTCTTTGGTACACCTTTCAATGACAGACACTGCCACAGAACCTCACGATCCACTGAGTCGAATGCCGCCTTTAGGTCCGGGAAAACAACTATTGTAGGACGCCTAAATGTGTGTCTGTGTTCCAGGACCTGTCGTAGTGTGAAAATGTGGTCTATACAGCCACGTCCAGTTCGAAAACCAGCCTGATTTTCTCTAGTCCGCTCTTCACGAACTCTGGTTAGGTGTCTCAGTATAATCAAGGCTAACAATTTAGACTGATTCCCCTGTGATTTTCACAAGAGAACTTTTCTCCTTTCTTATAAATCGGGACAATCAGGATTAAGACCATTAGGTCGGATTACGTCTATTTCTCAGATTCTACCTAAGTTCTGAGACAATCTAACTGTTAAAGCTGGACCACCATCCTTAAAAATCTCAGGAGTTAGCCTATCAGAACCTGCTGCTTTACCTAGCTTCAGATTTCCTACTGCTTTCTCAACTTCAATAAGAGTTGGACGACTTACATCAACTTGCCATTAAGGTTGACTGGAGATCGTGGATAGGTGAAATGTGGCTGAAGGCCAATTGATCTGATCACTGAAGTGTTCTGTCCATCGATTCAATCTCCTGGATTCGGAATGAATGATAGTCCCATCCTTTTCCTAAATAATGTCACTAACAGTCGGATTTCTACTACCGGTTTCCTTTGAAATGTTGTCTACTGTTGCCTATCGCCACCGCCTTTTTCATGTCTTTTGCTTTCGCTACCCACCGCTACTCGCAGTCATTGCATTATCTTCTTATCAGTTTGTGTTTAATCTGTCTCCGTTCCTCATCATGTTCAGGTCTAGGCGGCTTGAGTTGGCGAACGTCTGTCAGTTCTTTACATGCTACCGATATCCACTGATTTTCCCTAACCTTACGATTCGCCTTACTTGCAAATATCACTGATGTCTCCACAATCTTTTCGGCTATCATTCCAAGCTGCCTCCGGATGGGAATCGCTTAGATGGTGACGAAACCGTTTTTCTAGTTGTTAATGAAATATACTCTGTGCTTTGCTATCGTTAAGTGAAACTGTAGGGGGTTTCCTTACTCTGTCTTTTCTACGTCCGGTAAGACGCTGACGGATGTGCACTTGTACTAGAGCTTGGTCTGAACCTGAACATGTGCTGTAGGACGATCGACAATATTTTATCGAGCCTCTCCATCTGCGGCAGATAGCAATGTGGTCTGGTTGGGTCCATCGTTGGATTGATTTCGGGGTCCGCCATGTCGATGTTTTTCCTTCTGCCTAAAGTTAGTATTTGCTAGAAATAGGAGGTTATCTAAGCATAGCTGCATTAGACGATCACCATTATCTGTTCTTTGAGTTGCGACATTATAAGATCCACCCAGGTGTCTTTCAGTCTCTCTTAGCCGTAGCATTGAAGTCACCAGCCACTTTTACCATATCTGAGCACCTACATTTTTGGAGGAGGTCCGAAAGCTTTCTGTTCAACTCATCTTTTATTTCGTCTGAACTTCAGTCAGTGGTAGTGTGGGCAGATACGGCGAAGACGGAACTGTGAGTGTCTCTATCTTTCCGAGTTATTACTGTCCCGTCTAGTTGGACAGCACACAAGCGACTATCCACCGGGATCCAGTCTAGTACAGCTAGTTCTGCCATAGGACTCAATGTCATACCTATGCCAGCGAGACCACGAGAAGCAGCAACATGGCTTCTAGATACACGATGCGTAAACCGAGTTAACTGTCTGTCTGGACAAGGTAAAATCAAAATTAACGATTCTTTTCGGATCCTATATGCGTGTTTCTGAGATGTAGCATGCATTGATGGCACGGGATTCTGGAGTTCTAACTAAGGAAGCCTGTTGACCTATTTGGCACAAGGTTCAAACATTGAAAGCTCTAAATTGTAGTTGAGAGCGAGATTTAAGGGGACTAGAAAGAACATCTTGTAAACTCGAAGGTCTGCATCAGCGACGCCAGGTGACAAAAGACTGAAATAAGGGTTGGTCGAGGAGATAGTAGAGTTATCAATAAGTGTGGAAACGATTAGATTGTAAGTAATTTGGTTTCGTGTGCTGTTACGCGTATGAAGCCAAATGTCACTTCTCGTTTGTTTCTTCAGGAAACGAGAAGGGAAGTTAGCTTGGTATTGGTGTTAGACACCTGGAAGCGTGACCGCAGAGTCCAGTGGACAACTGCTTGAAGCCGGTCATGCACGGGTTCTTTAGGGTTGTTTGGTGATTTTAACATTAAACTTTCTGCTCAAATGTTTGCCTTCGATTCGCTGGACAGGACTTCTCTAGAATTGTCCATTGAAGAAGGGTGTTTCTGAGTTGATTATCATCTTGAAGGCCCTATATACCAACAACGGTAGAGCGAGGGCATACGACCACCCCTAACAATTACTTCATTCAATCAGTGGGGTTAGGTACGGTTTCCCAATCTCAGCACTCCTCTTCGACTTTACTATCAATGTCTATCTGGAAATAGTTCCGATGGAAAAGGGTAATGGCGGTTTGGATTTGTTTTCTGAAGGAAAACTTTTCAAATTTGAGTATATGGATGATGTTGACTTACTATACGATAATACCCAAGTCATTCAGTCAGCACGTATTCAGTTGACAGTTAATGTCCTTCAATATGATATGTGCATTGTACCTTGTAAGTGCAAACTTCTTTTGCGAGGTTGACAGAATCCTTAACCTGCACTCACTCACAGTAGTAAGCAGATGGAAGTTGGAAAATTCGTTTATGTGGATAGTTGCGTAACTACTGTGTGTTGTGGGTGATGAGATCAATTCAAATATAGTTAGAGCCGGAGCGCATTCTTTCATTTTGAACTATCTTTGGCATCTTTGTGATGTTAGCTTGGTTGTAAAAAGTCGAATCTATGAAGCATTGGTGAGAGCGATCTTTCTCAATGCCTATAAAACATTGACTATTCAAAGGGTTACTGACACTTTGTGGCACTCCCAGGAGTTCGTGAACGTGTGTTTTGGCACAGTGGCCGTAAATTCATTTGTCGCCACAATCTTTTATGACCTACTTTGGTGACCTGGACATGTACAATGAATGTTATCCCAGTGAATTTCATACGGCGCATTTTTTACTAACTCTGGGACTCCCGTTTCTAGCTGTCGCCTATTGCTTTTAGTGACTTTAATGTATGCCTTCAACTCGTTTCGTTTGAAATTGACAGCAATCCTAGGTCTAGTTAATAGCGTATCTGCTGAGTATGAATTTGTCTACCTCGCTTTAATGGTTGTTGTATACTTTCTTCTCTTTCTTAATACCAAGATATTTGTTTGAGTTTTATTCATCTCACTGTGAATATATGTGTCCATTATCCATACTCTTAGGAAATGTATCATGAAGTACCTACTTGTCATATTACAACTGGTTACTATGTTGGATTTTCTTTCATGATGATGCGCTCGTATCACAATGCTGTATCTACATTACTGGCTACCTTATCATATAAATCACGTGCAATAGGTCTCATATCCCAACGCGCTGATTTAAAAGAATATGTTAATAAACAAGCAGATCAAATGATGTCTCTACTAGCTATCTGTATAACTATGATTCCCACTTCGTTTGATTACAATGTTGATTTGGATAGACGAGAGAAATTCACGGAGACGCTTAATCGATTACAACAGTTGTAAGTATATTTGTGCTTCAACTTTTATTTCATTGATTTAGATTTTAAAACTTGGTCGATATCCAATTTTGCGGTTGTTACCACATAACATTTACCAGCAATTATCATAATATTTTTGTATGTTAGCTGGAATACTGCTCATGTACTAAAACCAAAGTAGGTGTTTTTTGGGGTCGACCCTTCAAACTTTTAGCCTGCAAGTCTAACTCAAAGCGATCTACTAACATCAGAAGAAGTTATCATATGGTACAGGACGATGAAAGTTCATACACCTTTATTGGGATCTATGTACTCTATTAGTTTGCAATCAAGGTTTTCCAACTTTTTTAATTAAAATATCTGTATCTTTCAACTTGGTTTTGTCACTAGATGTTTGCTCTTCAACCTCTTACTTACACAAAAACTACTACAAAGCGTGTGGGGCAGTAAGAAATAATTCCTCGACAGGCTATAAACTTGTCGGGCCATATCAGCAGGTACGACCGATTCACATTTGTATTTGCAGTCACAATACAAAATCAACTATAATAATTCATATATTAATTGAGATTATGCACTTGACTGTTAATATTTTAAATTTCTCGGTTCCTAGTTTGTACCGTTAACAGTAAAATTTAAACAAGTACGTTTTAAATCACAACAAAATGCCTATCTACTGCTAAATCTTATTTTAAAAAATGATCATATTCAGTAAATATTTCTATCATAAAGCAAACAGCAATAGTTTCGAGTCTTATGGTAGACAACAACACTTGAATTCAGCTACATTGAACGGAAGAGTTCCAAACAGTATAAAATGCATGTTTCGGTTACTGCTGCTAATAAACGTTCAACTTTATAATAATGATTGTTATTATTTCGTAGAGATGAAGTTGAATTTGCCAGTTCATTTGATCTTGGTTGTCCAAAATTTATTTCACCGGAAACTCCGTATTACGCCAAAGCTTTACCAATAACTGATGCAATTTCTCCTTTGGAACCACAACGTCAACAAACTGATTTATTCAAAACAGAAATTGTTCAACAAATTGAACTATTACGTCTTCGTTCATATCTTAAACTTTATACAAATATTTCTTCATCAAAATTGGCTAATTTTATGAATATGGTAAGTATATATCTATATATATACATAACAAAGCTTGTTCACAAAAATATATCTTAACCGTGTCTGCGGCTCCTTACCAAAATAAAACTAATGTTTTGTACACGATAATTTTCAAAATGTCAAATTTATTCACTGTCAATCAGCGATGAGATTTAATTTGCCAACTGACGAATTTCTTTAATAAGTCTTTATACTGTCATACACAACAAATAATCAATATACTGAGCCGAATATTAAAATGTGCACTTCATCCGTAGTTGGAACTGATTGTCAGTTGAGGGTGCTTCAGTACCCCCGACTATAGCTGCTACCTTGTTGTGGTGGTCTGGCTTGCCTATCGTGATGACCCAACCGAGCTTTATTGGCTGTAACATATGTTCCTGTAGGTCCTACCATACCATGCAGGTCGATTGAATAACGATGAGACTAAAAGCCGCTATTTAAGGTGTGAGGGTGAAGTCATACTGCTGACTGTTGAGGGGTGTGACAGCAGTAGGGCGTTTCCCTCGGATAACTAGCATCTGCAGCGATGCTGCCTTCTCACAAGGAAGGAAGGGGTTAGACAAGGTCGACCAGGTCAATATCAGTGTTCGTGTTAGAACTCAGAACTAGTACCTTTTTAATTTAAACGGCCAACGCCATTATCTACTAGACTAATGAAACGAGATGATCACTAAACTTTTCTACGTGTATCATTATTAGTAACAGTATGAATGATTTGATTGTTGGAAAAAATAAATTAATGGTTTTCGAATTATTACAATCATAGTTTATGTGTAACTTTTTCAGATAATCATTTTGTTTTTTATGCATTTGTATATCCAAGTACGTCGCTTTGTTTTCACAAAAACATTTTGATACATTTTGGCATCAAAAATGTATGGGCCATATAAATAAAGTGATGGTTTTGTAAAGATCTGAAGGGTGGTCGGATAAGAAGTGCTAACTAGTATTAGGACTAAATCAACATGAAGAATATGTCATAAAAGATCGATTTCAATGAAAAATAAAATCAACAAAAACTTTTTACAGTAACAGAAAACGATGTCAAGATTGACACTGGCTCCCGCTCCAAACTATGTTGTCGATAGCACATCAAGCAAATTAGTCGCACTCTCTGTGGGGGGCCCCAACCAGGAAGATAGTCATACTCAACATGAAACCTGACATATGCATCGGATTAAGTTATCCTAAATTTATATTGAA